AATTTCTTTTTAGACCATTGCAACTAGAATGGACAGAAAAAGGAAGGCTAAAAGCAAGATCCAGAGTTCTGTAGAAACCAAGATAAAGAGGGCCAAGAGAAAGACAGCCAAGAGAGGCAAACAGTCTAGAGAAGAAAAAGAGACTGGGGATGTCTATGTACCTGGGGGAGGGGATTAATCTCATCACATTTTGTATTTCTAGTGTTTTTAAAGTCAGAGCATGTCATTACCTTGATTGTTATTGCTGAAGCACTCCAGCACTCTTTTTTAAGTTTTTACCTTTTGATAGCTCAAAATAAGACTGTTTCATAATGCTGAATTTATTTATCTGTCCATTAAAATAGCTCCTAAATAACTTAAATTTTGTTTACTGGTGTTATTTTTTTCTCTTTTCATTTTTGGTTTCAATATCTGTTATTTTAAAAATTAATTTACCACCCTATTCAAGCTGAAAACATTACCCAACTTTAAGCGCTGTTTTCTTGGAACTACATTTTCAGATATTCCTCGAACCTCCTACGTCATTCCTTTGGAGTAAGAGGGAGGACTCTTGTTGGAAACTGATCAGGGTTGATGCCTCTGTCATAATATAGAGCTACTTTCATTGTTTAAGCCCTAGGATAAAACTTAACATTTTAATTCAGTAATTATTTTTAACAGTGTGGAGATTTTTAAAATAATAAACTTTGATTTTTGAAAGAACTACTTTCTTCTCTAATATACTGAAATGTGGCTCTATATTGTCTTTCAGTAGTCCCTTAAGAACAGAAATAGGTGCGAGACATATTTCTAACTTCAAAGGGATGACGTAGGAGAGCTCGAGAAAAACACATTAATTTACTCTATTTCAATAGTTAACTTTTAAACCATTAGAGATACAGCGGTGGTAGATGCATGACATTTTGTCTTTTTAAAAGTAGAATGTTAAATGTGTAATTTTTTTTGGAGAATATTTTCAAAGATAGCAATTTCAGTCCTGTCTCACCTTAATCTCAATAATAGAACGAGGTGTAGGGCCGCAGTCGCCACCATCGAGTTCTCCTAGCAGGGGAAGTGTGATTAGCAGCACGACAACGGTGCCAACCGAGGGGTCGTCAACTCCGATATTCCTTCGTACACGGACTGATATTACTCTAATATTACTCTAATATTCGAGGGGTGGATAACTCCCCTGCCAAGTGTACACCCCTAATTCTGCCCAATTCAAAGTAATTCAGACCAATTCAATTTAATTCAAACCAATTCAAAACTAATTTAACTAATTCAGTCCAATTCAAGACAATGTTCAGTCAATTCAAGTCAATTCAAGCCAATTCACGGTAATTCAGTAACATAAAATCGCAATAATTCAAACTAATTCAAAACCAATTCAACCAATTCAGTCCAATTCGAATTCAATTCAAGCCAATTCAAGCTAATTCAAATTCAATTCTTGAAATTTGTACACCCAATTCAGAAGTTATCCACCCCTCGCTAATATTACACATATTACTTGATATTCCACAATATTACCCGATATTCCACAATATTACCC